TTTATTTTTTAATGATATATATATTATATATATATATATATATATATATATATATATATATATATATATATATATATATATATAAATAGTTGCCTTTTTATTTTCATTAAAATAAAAAGGCAACTAGATAATGTCCCAGTTTGATTTCCATCATAAGCAAAAAAATATGCCAAATATCTTTTTGATGGTGAACTGTACATAGTACATATATGATGAAGGAAATCTCTTTAGATATCCCATTGGTCTTCCCAAACTGAAATATGTCGTCCTCGCGTTACACACGAACCTGTCATGTTCTTTGTCCACCAGATGATAGCGGGCACGGAAGGCCACAAGCCGGGCATAGTAGGCCGGCGCAGGGATGGAGACTGAACGGGTACAACGAACGTACGTGTGGCACAACTGGTAGGTTAGAATCTGCAACTCATCTGCCGTGAAACGATTGTCGTCCCATAAGACGTAGTAATGAGACGGCCGGCTGGTGCCCTGGTGACACAGAGGAAACAGAAAATCAACTCAACATCGATGTTGTTTAAAAATGAGAGAGAAAAACAATTGGAAAATTCAAAAAGGGTTCAAAGAAGCTGAGGAAGTCAAAACGGGTAGAAAATATTTCTGCTAATCTTGACCTGTATGCCTGCGTGGCTGCACAGGTAGAAATCGAACTCAAAGGGATGAGTGATGCTGGTGTCCACTGTAGTCCCTGCAGGTATATTGCCACTCTTCCCAATCTGAGGAGGAAATCGGTAATTAATGATTTCTAAACAATAAATAAAACATTAAACTTTTTTTTGCCTAGAAAATGAAGAGCTCACTCTTTCAGATTTGTCAGCACAGAAGAGGCGTGTGTGGTGGCGTTTCTGGACCACGATGTAGGTGATACCAGGCTGGTAATCCTTCTCCAGCTTTATGCATGCGTCTCTGATGGCCAGGAGCTCATAGTGAAGAATCTGAACAGAAGGTACTTAATTAGGTCTAAAGTCGAAGAAAAAAAAAAATGAAATAATCATATAAAGTTAATCAAAAGAGAGTGGCTTCATGTCAAGCTGTTTTTTTTTAACCTGTGGCAGCTGTCCCTCCGGAACCCCGTCTCTGTAGAAAATAATCCTGGTGGGCTTGAAGCGCGTCGACTTGTAGAACTGGATGAGCAGCTCCCGCACCATGTAAGACAAATCTTCAATGATTTCCTGCCGGGGTCTCTGGACACGCACCGTGGCACAGTACCTGCTGGGATGGGCGTCCATACTGCCTACCACCTGGAAGAGGGAGCAGCAGGAGGAATAAAGACAGCTGCACGAGCTGTTATGAGGCACATTGTATCAACTCATCTATTAAGGAGAATATGAAGAGTGAAATTGATGTTAACTGAATAACGTGTTCAAATGTTCTCAAAAGGATTAAATGTTTAGTTATTTGAGAATGTAAGCATTTGTCTGCATTTCTAGACAATACAGAAAAATTCTTAAAACAAGTTTCCCTTTATTGAAAACATTCACACAGCTTCAGTCCTGCTGTGCCGAGTCATTTTCCATTTTCCTTCCCATTTGCAATTGTATTTCTGAACATAAGACTCCCCTAAAGGCCACACCTGGAATATGCAAGAGGCTCAGAATTAAACGTCATTTTCTATTGGCCAACGTTTACATCATAGTGATCCGTTTCTACAAGTTGTCTCCTTCTGCCAGATCACTCGGACGTACCCACTCACCTCTCCAATGTGCCGTCTGTGTGACTCAATCATTTGTCATTATTGCTAGGCAACAACCCAGCCAACCACAGCTGAGATGAGGTCAAGTGTGGACGAGGGTTGACGTCATTTCCTATGAACGTGAGTCAATGATGAGCCATTCGTTTCCCAGCTCCGCCCTTACTACTTTTTGCCTCCTTTTGTCAAAGATTACACAAAAACTCAGATTCATCTTAGACGATTGTCATGACATGGACAATAAAACCAGTGTAAGTTTAACCATTGAATAGATCAAAAGATAACATTTTTCCTTTCTTTTTAAAATAAGCTAAAAGTGACCTTCATAATTCTATGATTAAGTTTTCAATGTAACAGCTAAGAAAAAAAAAATATTTTCTTTGTCTTGTAGACTAAAGGTACTGCAGCTGTTTTTACCTTTTAAAGCTGTTCTGCTCCAAACTGCGATACAGAGCGAAACAGCCATCTATAGTGTCACAGTTACCAAGCAACCACAACCGTGTGAGTTTTCATAGAGATCCTTAAGTCCTTTGCATGATTTGCATGTCCTTCCTACTTTTGTTTGACTATAAAAGAATCACTCTGGCATTACTGAAGCCAACACAGGACAAAGGAGGAACTTTGCAATGTGCTGGAAAACATTTAGAAATCATTAAACGTGACATTAGCTAAATTTATGGAACTGTGGCTATTAAATGCACATAAAACTAATTCAGTACTACAAATCTTTCAAATTGTTGGCTGCAGTCAGTTTCTGTTGTATCCAGCATTACATCGTTTTCCAACTTAAAACAATTCAAAAATAAGTAAATAGTAGTAATAAATTTAGATGTTGGACAGTTACTTGTATCGGGGTCTCCCAAGGTTATCAAAAATGATGGTTTCTCGTTATAGCATTTCTACAATTTAAAGTCTCTTAAATAATATTCTAGAGTTTTCTTCAGCTGTAGGGAACAAAATAAAACAACGCTGCCCTCCTCCACCTGTTGCTCACATTGCTGCTAGCTAAAATATATATATATATATATATTTTTTTTTTTTTTTTTTCCCATTTGGACAGACAGTTATAGTGTAAAAAGCAAAGGAGCACCATCTATTGTACCTGGCAAGCTAAGTGCAGCATGTATGTTAACCTGCAGTTTCTTAATATTTACTTTGCCTGTAAAACAAAAACCTACTGCCAATTAATGAGCAAGTCTATCTTTTAAAATAGAAATGAATCTATGTTAACTGTAATGAATATATTATCATAATGGCAGTAGGCATAATGGTAAATTTATTAGACTTTACCATTATGCTATAATGGTAAAGTAAACCATTATATAATGGTAAAGTCATTATTATATTATATATTTTTGTTTTAGATTTGGATTTCAATATCATGAGACTGTAAAACACAGTTGTTATACTGGCTCAAGTCAACCAGTTACCAGAGTTTAACCAGAGAAGTTCACCCAAAGATGGGTTTAGCTCGCAGATTTCATGGGGAACTTGGTTTTCCTTCTTTTTCTAGAGAAAATTTAAAAATCCCAACCAATATCCAGGGACTTACAGCAGTAATAGACGGCTTCTTGCCATCTCCAGCTGGAGGATGCGTGACATCTGCTCCCAGGAAGATAACCGGCTGCTGAAACACGGCAGACCTGCCGATGCACATGGGAGAGCAGATGCAAATTACGACTGCTAATCGAGGAAGGACGGGTTTGCTTTTTAGAGTTATTTCATAGGAGAAAACAGAAAAAAATCCAACTTTCAAAAGATTTATACAGAGAAATCAACATTACATTTTATGAAATATGTAGACAATGATTTTATTTTCTTGATAGAAGAGGCAGACTATGCCCCAAGTAAGCTAATGTCCTGTGTAAACTATGGCAGCAGTAATACAAACATGAGTTGTTCACAGCAGATCTTAAGTTTTACTCATCTAATGCACCAAATGTAAACGTATAAAAACACACTCAAACAGAAGCTCACCTTTGGTGAGGAACCAGGATGTTGTTTATTCCTCCCAGCTTCACGTTGATCTTTAGGCAGAGGTTGGAGAGAGTCTGAGGCGATGTTTTTACGACATTTTTCACCTGGACACACTGCGTGGCCATGCCGAGCAGAGTGTCTCCCACACGCTTCACCTCCGCTAGAGAAGACAAGAGTTTGAACATTAGAAAATCATTGCTGTGCTTGAAGAATGTGGGAACATCCTTTTGATGCATGCACTTAGTAATCTGATGCGTTTACAGCCTTTGGTGACTGCTGCTGCCCTGCTCCTTTAAATTAAGGAACATTTACCGTTAGCCAGGTTGTCTTTCCCAGGAAAAAAAAATCATAAAAAGGGGTTTAAAGTGGAAAATAAAACTGAGTGATATTATATATATGCTGCTCCATATGTAAAGAAATATGTCCATGTTTAGAATAACATCCCATCATTTTTGCTCTTAAAAGCAGAATTTGAAAATTAAAACAGTGAATTTATTTCCTAACATTTTCCAGAGCCTCCTTTGTTCTATTTTTGCCTGTCATAATGAGTCAAATGTCCTGAGTGGGTGCTGAACAGGAGGCAGCTGGCTCTTTTCTTGGCTACTAACTTACTTGCCTTTGTAAAAATGAGAACACGATTTCACAACAACAGAGTGCACAAACATAAAAAAAAAAGAAAAAAAAAAGGAACACAACAAAAGAGAAACAACCTGTCAGAAATGACATACCATAAACGGGAGTTTTCCCAGGTAGGATGACAATGATGAGCTGAAGTCCAGAATAGGTGTTTTTCAGGTGTCTGAACATGGGTTCCACGCTGTCGGCTCCCTGGGCGTACTTACAGAAACACGGCTGGCCCTGAATTGGCATCCCAGCATCCTTTGAGATCTTACGCAGCTGGTCTGTGAAGTTCCTGAGTTAAATCCAAAGTTTGGTTAGGAAAAAATTCAAAATAAAACCGAAATAATGTTATTTTCCATGTACCAGCCCATAAGTATATTACAATGAAATAAAAACTGCGTGACATGCATTCGTTTTCAGCTCCCTTGACTGAGATGTGTTTTGCCAAAGATCTAAAGTTTAGAGTTTCTTTTCAACAGATATTATCGTCCTTAGCTTATGATGCCTTCACAGAAACATATTTATACTGAGTTTAAACTACACACGGTTGGACTTTATTTACTAACTAAATTGATTTTTTTTTTTATCCAAGGTGATTTTCAGACGCTTGCTTGTCAAAAATTTGGAAAGCTACATATCCATGACTCATTTCACTTCGCACTGGAATTGTGCACTTACTTGAGCACCTCCTCTCTGCACTGCTTCTGGGGGGCAAAGCAGGCGATCGCCCAGACTTTGATCTCAATGCCGTTGTAAAACTGCTTCCCCCTCATGTCCCAAACTCCCTGGTTGGGAGTCGCGATAGCCCGGTTCTGTGGAAAAGAAGAAGAAAAAAAAAAACAAACAGCAGTCAACCAGGATTTAGTTTGTTGCATTTGGAAAACGTCACCAAACGGTTGCATGGTTACTGATAAATGGGCTGCGTTTACCCGTCCGCCATACTGTAGAATGGGAGCTGGTAGCACCCTGCCAGTCACTTCAGCCATGTCGTCCTTCACCTTGATCCCAAACTCCTGGATGTATGGGTCTAGGTTGAAGTTAGCGTTCTTCATCTGTGGAGAGTGAAGGACATGCATCACATTTCACTGCCTGCACCACAAGTCACTGAGACGTATTATCTCAGGTCACAAGCATTGGCCTCCACGAAGCGTTCTCCAGAACTCACCAGCCTGCTGATCTCCTCCTGCCTGTCGGGCGCAGAGCGAGCTGTGGCTTTAATCATAGTGGAGGTCTGATTATCCGTCAGCTTTTTAATGCACCGCTGACCCGCTACAATGTTACACACCTAGAAAGAGCAAATACATAGAGTCAGTAAAACAACTTAAAAGTTTGCTGATGATTCACAAAAAGTACTAAAATATCATAATTTTATCCTTCAACCGGTCAGATTTCCATAAAGATTTACCTCCAGGGGCAGGTAGGTGTGTTTTTGCTCCTGCCCAACTTGTAAACAAGGTAGGTGGGGGTATTTAAGCTGCAAGTTGTACTTCTGCTTGAAGTACTGGGCCACTGTACATTCTACCGTCTGCCCACTTTCAAGCTGAAGGGGAAACCTAGACGTAAAAAGATTTGAATCAGTATTGCACCTGTATTGACAATTACTATTAAAAAAATGTGTGAAATTGTTTAAATCCATTTGGAAATTTTCCTTAAACATTAATGCATCTGACATCTCATTTTCTCAATTGTTTGCATCTGTTATAGCTGTTTAGATGAAAATTGACAAAAATTTGTCAATAAATGTTATTTATTTTAAAGAATAATTTTATTTTATTTAATTAAAAAAAAAAACATGTTAATCCATTATAAAGCTGGTATACCATTTCCCAAGTAGAACTATGAGTTTAACTTTAGAGTTTCATAACACCACCATTCTTTATAATAAATCTAAATATACTTCAAAATCATGACACTCCAAAGTGGCTCTGTGCCAATTTAATTACCAAGATAAATTGATGATGTTGGAGTCATTAAAAGACAACAGATTCATCTACTTTGTTGTGGTTAACACTGGGGGCACAGAAGATAATGAGGTTGCAGGAGTAATGGGTCTAAAGAGCATTTACGTTTGATGGCTGGCAGGACGTCTGGTGACATTGCATACACGATATTTTCTCTTCATTTGCCCACAGTGTGTCACCTCGACCTTCAGGCCTACAAACAAAAAGGTTTGAGAACCACCGACACGATCAGACAACTAGGAGTAAAAAGAAATCAAATATAACATACATGTACATACCGCATCATTTCGAGGCCAAAGTTTCACATTTCTTAGATTATCTTTGTCATTTAACTATATCTAAGCCATAAACATAAATAAAACTTAAACATAAAAGCCAAAGTATTTTTTTTTTGGTTCAAATTTCAAATTTTAAAACCACCTTATTATAAATTTGACCTTTAGTAAAAGTACATAAAAGGCATGAATAGAATATAAAATAAAAAAAGAATTTCAGTTAGAAGCAAATAGTAAAACTTTAGTCTGACCTGATTATTTTTAAGAATGTCAGATTTTTATCTTCAAGAAAAATGGGAGAGAGATACAACCTTGAAATAAATGAATGTTTATCAAAATTATTTAAACATAGAAATGACTATAATCAAGTTATATATTTCTCCAGACTTTAAAACTGTTTAGGAACCTTAAATGAAGGACGGAAAATAAAACTAAAAGATTAAAAAAAAATCACACAAAAGTATTTTTGCAGTACATATTACCAACCACACAACATGGCCTCTAGGTTTTCCTACAATTAAATGGAGTCCTGAAATAATAAAGGTGAGAAAGTTTATTCCTTTATGATTTCTATTATGTTTTGGAGGTTCTTTCTCTCTCACCTTTAATTTCCTTTGTGAAGCGGACCCTCTGTGAGTCTGTGAGGGTCTTGGGCTGCTCATCGATGTTGCGAATGTCCAAAACCTCACACATGAACTCAATTACAGGCTGGGCTTTGTAGAAGGCCGTGGCAGACACTAGAGGGAGACAAAGAGCAACAAACATAAAATACTACCTGGAACATTTAAAGGCCTTTATCCAAGTATTTTGAATATCATTTTTTTAACAGAGAGAGAGAAGAAATGTAGACTTCACAAATAATGTTATGAACTGTTTAATGTTTTTCTCTCAGAGTGCATATTACATTTCTGTGACAGAGCAACTAGTCATGGCAGTGTTAGTAAAAGCCACTTAGAACACTGAATGGCAACACACACACACCTACACACACACACACACGAATGTTGTTGTCAGTGACTCACCATCAATGTTAAGCATCATCTTCCACATGGCGGGACGCACAGACTGATGGAAGCCAAACCAGACCTCCCTCCCCCCACCAAGTGGGTGGTAGTATCCTTCAGGTGGGGAGAAGAAGGACCGACCCACTGGAGTGTACCTAGTTGGAGGAGAAAATGATGAGTGTGCATATTTAGGCCATGAATACATCATGAGCTCATGTCCAGGAAAGGGGTTACTTCAGAGTACTTCAGAGTGAGATAAGGCTTTCCAAAGAAAAACGGAGCAAACATGAACCGATCTTTGCCACAAAATCTGTTGTATCTAACTTAACTACAGTGTCTTGTAAACGTATTCATGCTTTTTTTTTTTTTACTTGTTCACATTTTGTAACATTACAACCACCGAGAGGTCAGACCACCACAAAATAGCATGAAACCAGATAAATGTTCTCACTAAGTTTTCTGGTATTTAGCAAATAGAATGTCGGTCATTCTAACTAACCTAAAACAAGATAAATTTGGTTTGATTTAACTTTAAGAAAAAAATGAGTATATGCATTTTCAGTATATCATACGTCTCTTCTAGCTTTGCACATTTAGAAAAATTCAAGCCCATTCTTCTGTGCTAAACAGCTAAATCTCACTCAGATTAACTCCAAACATCAGTTTAAGACTTACCACAGACTCTCATTTGAATTTTGACTGAATCATTCTATTCAGTTTACATCTTGAAGTCAGCTATTTCATTGATCAGAATTGTTAAATACTTGTTAGGCAGTTTCAAAAAGATGAAGGCTAACTTTGTTGATTCAGGTCTAAAGCATGATTAACACAGAAGTCCACACACTGAGCCTGAACACATCTTAACTGTACTTTAGGTCATCAAAATAAAAAGCACAAAAAAAATAAGTACAATTTACAGTAAATCTGTAAAATTTACAACTAGTTAAACTACAGATGTACTTTCTAAAACATAAAAATACAAAAATAATTTCTAACTGATAATCTGACTGGACAGACGGACACCCCATGCATGTTTGGATCCGTTCCTTCCAACTGGAAGACAGAGGGTTTGCTATGGCGTACCTCATAGAGGCCAAGTGGCGCATAGCCACATCCAAGGCTTGAACTGAGTCGAGGGGGACTTGCAGTCGACCACTGACGAGAGTTTCCTGTAGCAGCCGCCATGACACTTTGGCCAACCAGCGGATGGAAACCTTAAAGATTCGATCTTTCCCCTCACCAGGGATAGTTACCTCAAAATCCACCTGGAATAGCAACGAGGTGGGGAGAACATGATTCATTAAAAAATATATATATATCACAGTTAAAGCTGCAGTATATAACTTTGTGACACTATGGTATGGAACAAAAAAAAAGGACTACTTTGCTTTCTCCCAGTGCCAACTAGAAACAACCAATCAGAGTTAAGAGGAGGTCCTTAGCGCTGTCAATCCTGCTGCCATCTCCTCCTCTCCAACTATATTGGTGGATAAACAGTTTTTCTATAAAAGTAAGTTGTTTCTCTGCCTTTAGTACACCGAGCAGCTTGTACACAAGCATGTTTGACAGCGCTAAACACCTGAAATTCCATCCAAACAAAATTAAAGATAAATTTAACAGATTCGTGAGAAGCTGATGGTAGTGGCATGGTAGAACAAAACTTAACTTACCTTTTCACTCCCAATAGGAAGTGCTAAGACGGTGTAAATATTCTTCTTGCCATCATACACTGGCTTCCTGTCACCAAAGAGCTGGGGCTTGAAATGTTGAACCATGTACTCCACCACCTCTCTGTAGGAATTAAGAATCATAGAATGAGCTTAAGAAGCAACAGAACACATAATAATCATATATTATTATGATATACAACTATATATCATAATAATATGATAACATCATCCCAGTGTGCCAGCAACCTCAACAAGAGGCTTCATTGTCACAGAGAGAGACAGTTCACAATGTGATCACGGTATTGATCAAACAGGATACAGCTGCTGGGTGCAACATGGTGGTCATTGGGGGGCAGCGGCAAGACAAAGAGTGAGAGAGTGCAGGTGGCAGTGGGGGGGCAATGTTCAGCGCATTGGTTTTCATTATGAAGTGGGGGGCGAGGAGATATTCCTAAAAAGAAAAGGTCAAAGGCCTCAACCTTTGCATGCCTTCTTGGTTCCTTTGTGTTTCCTCTTCCAAAGAGACTAAACCAAGTTCTTTGGAAATTCGGAAGTGAATTTTACAGAATGTGCAGTTTCCAGGGATTATTCTACCAAAATTTAAGGGTTTTGAAGTGTCAAATATGATTTCTTCTTTAAAACCTACTTGATGGTTTAAATCTCTGCAAAAATATTACAGCTGGCAGATTTATACAATTCATTCATACGGAAGCTGTTATTCCGTTAAATAAACACAAGATATTGAAATCCTTTAAAGTGTAAAAGTAAATAACTTTCCATTTTTGCAAACATACATGTGATGTCAAACAGGCAAAACATTATCTCTGGCATTCCTCTAAGATAGTCTAAATGTATATTAGTAATTATCCAGAGCCCTGAGGCAATGATCAGAACACAGAGAATGAGACTCCGTCACAGCTCTGGGGTTAGCGCCAAACTGAATAAACAAGGTTATTGTATTTCTGCTAATAGCCAGCGCTGACACATGAGACAACTGGGAAGCTTGACAGACAATCGGATGGTGTCGACAGCCACCAAGCTTAGTTACAAGCATGATATAATTTCAGAGTGGTCACAAAAGTAAAGGATCATGAGCAAAAAAGAGACATCTTTCTATGACGGGTGAAGCGTCTTAGATCAAACATGAAGTAATGCCAGGCTGCCAATTGCACTGCACTGAAAAGCAGATGTCACATTTGTTTGTTTTTTTTAAGTTCACTCTCCAGAGAGATTCTTGTTCCCTTTACTCTCACAACTTTAATATTTATTTTTATTCCATACAGCAAAGTGATTAAAGTTTCATATGTGAAAAACGGTGAACATGGCCGAGTCATTATAAATTATCATTACAGTAAAGGTCTGAGTGAAGTCTGTAAGAGTGGAACTGTTAAAAATAAAAAGATGTATGCAGAAAATAGATAAACTGATTCAGTTACTAACCAACGATGTCAATCTCACACATATTAAGGGAAGAAAGTAATGATAAATCAAATACTGATGATGGTAAATGTGTCATTTAGTAACGTGTTCATCATAAAGACAAAAACATTTGGTAATGAGCAAAATTAAATTTTAATTTCTATTTTTTTTTTCTTTTGAGGTGGAAGCGAGGTTGCAAGTCAATCTTCCACCTCTGTGTTGTTATTTTATTCTAACCGACTTCTAATTTACACCTGTAAACAAACCATTTGGTATCCATGCATCCAAAGTATTCTTAATTTTGTTTTTTAGCAAAGCACTTTCATGAATTATGGAGACAGTCAATCATATAATTTTGATATCCGTGTTACTTTCTGAACATCTGTAAGACATTTGGGTTTTATTGATTTTGTTTCTGGCCCATGTTTGACTCAGATTACGGCCTCTCGTTACTGTGAAGTTATTTTGTTCCTGAAAAACTTTGCTGCTGTGTTGTGATTTGCTCTGGAAATCTACTTTATTGATTCGGTTTTATGGTTGTTTTCAGACCTTTGCAACCTCTGCACTCAGGTGGAGCCAGCTGATGAAAGCTCCCTGGAGCAGTGACAGGATTTTATAGTAATCCTATGAAGTCAATAAGACGCAAACTCTGCTAACCATTCCCTAAACAGTAGGCTAAACTTAGCAAGTAGGAGGGTTTTTTTCCAGTGTCTTGGGGGAAAAAAATCTCATCACATTACAACCATAAACCTCAGTGTATTTATTTAACTATAAATTAAAAGATTGTTTTCTCAATGTCTCATTTTCAGTTTGCTTTACAGTTTTGGAGCACTTTTTGTTGGTCTACAACATAAAATCTTATTTTTGAAAAAGCATTTCTTAAGGCTAATAATAATGTAATAATGTTAAGGCCTATAAATAATGCAGCAAGTTACTTGCATCCAGTTCAGATGTTAAAAGTTAGTATTTTATTGATAAATTACAAAACTGTTAAAACAAACACCAACCAAAGTGAAACAATCCCATATGTTTGGATACATTTTTGAGTCTAGCATCCAGTTCAGCTGGTTGGACCCAGCAGCACAGGAACAGCAGTTTAATATTAAAGAAGCTCTTGCAGAAATATATCATTTTTATCCTTTCATTAAGCCAAACCCAAAGACACCAATGTTGATTTCAAAGCATAAAATCTTCCATTATTAAACATGGTATCCAGAATGTGATTAAATATGGACTATTTGATAAAAGTTCTACACAAACCAGAAGTCACATTAGAATTTAGTAGAACAGATTTTCCCTCACATGATGCATTATGTTTTGCCTGCTAATAAAGTCAAGGTAAAGAACTGGATGGTGAGGAATCTTTTTCTGCCTCAGTTTTTATAAAGTAACAGTTTTTATGCTTAATTTGCATAATTCACTGCTTTTTGAAAGACTGGAAACACAGGTAGGTATCCAATATTCAGTTTTAAGCATTACAACACAGCAAGTGTTTGCTTCTTGACATAAGACTTGAGAAGCAAGCTATAAAACGTGTATGAAAAAATACTTTGTAACCAACAGTCATTAGTTCTCCTATTACCTGTTGACTCGCCGTGGGCACTTGTCAGGCTTAATGTCCACCTCATAGTGATAAACGTCCATCTTTGGGATTTCCACTTCAAAGTAGTTGGCCAGCAGCTTAATGGGCTTGCCCACGGTGCCCATGCCCGGCCGCCGGGGGGCATGAAACACCTGCTGCAGGGGTGGGGGGAAGGCCCCCAAGGGCACTGGACAGACACATTACAGGGAGGCATCCACAAGAGCAGGAAACAGATGGAAAGAAGGTTAAAAACGAAAACAGACCGTGGAGAAAGTAGAAATTCACAGTAAGAAAATATTGGAGTTAATTAAATAAATGAGGAAAGCAGATCCACGAGCGGAAAAGGAGAGGAAGTTGCAACGAAAACGGTTAAAACGGAGAAAAGGGCAAACAGGACCACAAAAGTAGGTGTAAGGCAGGAAGGAAGTGTAGGCAGGGGCCAAAGTGAAATGATTAGTGGGCATGAGTCCCAGCAGCCGGGACAGGAAGGCAGGGAGAGGGACGATAGGAGAGACAAGAAACAATGTGAAAGAAAAAGTTACATCACAAATGAGTCAGAGTGAGGCAAGTTGTAAAATAAGAGGTAAACAAGGAAGATTTGATAACACATAAAGGACAAAACAAAGATTCAAGGGGGAGAAGAAGGGAAAGAAAAGAAAAGACAGAGGGAAGGGAAACAAATGATATTGTTTAGCAAAATATTTTTTAGATCAGAATTACAACAATTCTAATATATAAAGGTTTATTATTGAAGCAGTAGCATGACAAAAAACGTATCAAAAGAAAGCTAGGAACACATATAGGTGCAACTCAACAATTTAGAAAAGGTATATTGAACTAGGGAGACATCAAACAGTTACAGGAAGCCACCACTTAAGGACGGGAGTTGAATAACTCTGGTTTAGAGAATTAAAAAGTTGTTTTTTTTCCTCTCTGTAAATGCAAAAGTGAAATTTATGGAGCTCAGTTAAAGCCAGATTCACCAGCCTGTACCTAAAGAGTTGATTTCTGGATATTTTTGATGATTATGGCTTAGCTAAAACAATTGAAATCCTTATAGTCTGCTTCTCAGAAATTTTAAACATTTCATCTGCATCCTATTCCTAGCAAATTATTGGAAGGTTAAGTGGAAGGAAAAAGTGTAGTTCAAAAAAGGTGCACAAGCCACAGGGACTACAGCATTAGCAGGATTGTGAAGCGAAGACCATTTAAAAGTTTGGGGGGTAATTCACAAAGCATGGAGTGGACTCCAGCTGGAGTCAGGGTTTCGAAGCACACACCACTGTAATGTCATGGGGTTTCTGAACAAGATAACATCAGAAGCATCTTATGAGCTAAAAGTAAAAAAACTGGACTGCTGTTCAATGATCCAAAGTAATCTTTTCAGATGAAAAAAAACAACAAAAAAACCAAACAAGTTTACACTTCATTTGAAAATCAAGGTCAGGGTGTGGAGGAGGAGTAAAGAAGCAGAGAATCAAGGCTGCCTGGGGTCTAATGTGATGTTTCTAGTCGGTGATGACTTTTGTTGATGCCGATTTTATTTTCAAGCATGACGTGACACCAGTTCACACTGCCAAAAGTACAAGCATCTGGTTTCATGAGAGTTTTGTTACTGTGCATTATCCAGTACATCTGACCCACACGCCAACAGAGAAACTTAAAGTCACTATAGAGCAACCTGAGTTTCTTCAACATCTCAGCAGAGCTAAAAGCTTGTACCTGCCATGCCATCCTCCACTTATGTAGCACTTCATGTAAAAGTAGCCCCGACCAAAAACATATGCTGCACACTTTCAGCAGATTATAGATTTTATGCTTTATTAGATTTTTTTTTGTAGAAGTTCAACTTTGGGTTTTCATTAGTTTTACGCTATAATCATCCAAATTAACAAAAATAAACACAGATTTTAATACATATATACAATACGAGTTTCAGATTTTGATGAAACAACACAGCTTTTCATTTATACTTTTGTTCGAATTTATGTTTTAAGGATATCACCCAAAAATAAAATAGTACATACATTTACAAATAGAGAACAGAGAACAAAAAACACAGCCTGAAAACCCATATAATTTTCAGATAACAGGGAATAATAAAGTCAAACTCTATAATTTTCAACACATCACTTTGTTTTACCTCCTAAAGAGAGAAAGTTGGTTTGAGTTAAGGTTTGGTTTGGAGGGGGGCCTGTGAGGGCTATAGGGGGGCATCCCAGACTGGGTCCTTGGTGTGAAGTTAGCTCTGACTCCTGCCTGAGAGGGGCCCACTGCCGTAACCTCTGGGTCCCCAGAGAGCAGCCCTCCTCCATCACAACAAAGACCCCAGCTGCCCTGCTCCTCCATCTCACACACAGAGATACAGGGCAGCATGACGGAGGGAGAGCGCTTGCTACTATGAACACACACACACACTCACACACACAGGAGGAACCTCCCCCCCCACCCTCCTCCCCTCTCCTACATTCCCAGCCTCACCATGGAGACACCACAGCAACACAGTATTGTCATGGATATCAGGGGACCTGTGTGTGTTCATGTGCAAGGCTGCTGGAAAAAATGTGGGAGGAGGCAGGGTGCCACTGTGATCACGCAGAAAAGACCTTGGCCTTTTTGGTCCCTCTGCATTAGCCTATTCCAAACTAGAAAAGCTCGACTTCAAATAGCTGCTATAGAAACGCTTGGTTTAAAAATACCACTTCATGTTTCGTTCACAAAGCCGCGAGTCAGGAAGAGTAGTAGTCCTAACGTGAAGAAGGATGCTCTGCCTACAGAGAGTGCACGTGTGTAGCATCACACGTCGAACAAACGCAGTAAACACAGATCCAAGACATGTGGTGAAGCGCGCAAACTCGGAGCTGGAGAGGATACATGTGTGTAAATGTGCGAGCACGTTGTGATTGCTGCCCACTAAGCGCACAAAGACGCACACTTCTCCCTCGTGCCAGTGAAGGCAGATGGTGAGAAGTGGAGCCAGTGCTCTCACATATCCCAACACAATAGCAGACTCTCCCGGGCGGCGAGACTTAAACCGGAGCCTCACAACACGAAGACGCTCGCCGCTTATTGTCTTTACAATGACATAATGAGCAGCAAGACGGAGACACATTAGGACCGCTAATTTCAAGCTAGATCCTGCCATGTATCTGAGGATTTCTGAACTTTCCTCCAACTCTTTGCTGCTCATTTGGTGAAGTAGCTTGCTGATGTTTTTGTTCATATTGAATGAATTTATGAACAACTTTACATAATTTTTTTTTAAAAGTATTAAATTAAATACTGTTTTACATATTTGTATGTAGTTAAAATTTAAATAAATCTTATGGAAATGTAGAGAATCTGGGTAGTACTTTTCAAAATGTACCTCAGTCGGGATTTGAACCAATTTTTTTCTTGAGTAGCGATAAGCAGATAAAACACTAAATTTAAAAAAAATAAAATCTGATTTTTCTCTTGATTCATTAAATGTTTCAAAACTAAAAACTCCCACAATCACCACTCCATAAACTCATCAACAGACATTATGTAATATATATACATTTGACAGAGGTTGGGATAAACAGGACTAATAGGGTATTTTCAGTAGCATAATTTTTTCACCTTTTACATCTAATATGAACTTAGGAAACAAAACACAGTCCAAATAGGAATCAACAGTATAAGACAAGTTTGAGCAAACCAGTTCATTCTTGAGCCAGATAAAAACTTGTCTGACCAATCTGGGAAGACTGACAAATTGAATTGTCACACTTCAAACACAAAAGCAGAATATGAAATGGGGAGCCTTAGGGACCCTCCCCCCATTCTACAAATTAGATCAAAATTAAAACAAGCTAAATTAGCTATAAGGACCAACTGTGTGTTCTTTATTTCTTTGATCTGGAAGCAGAAATAAACCCAGTTTTAAGTTATTTAAAGACAATTCCGAATAAGCAGTAAAACCCAAGTCATAAAATAAGTTACGAACTCAGACTAAGGAGTCAGCAGATTTAAAATTGGATTGATAGGTGCAAAGTGAACTATTTTCAATAATAAAACAAGCATTCGGAATGTCAGCTTCTTCCTATTTCTGTTTAATAGGAAACAAAAACAATCCATGTTTAAATGTCTCCAAATAAAGACAGTTCCTATCATTCGTGAACACTGATTGCAAATCTGAAATATGCTATGTCAACGCCAGCATATACAAATCACAATTGTGTATTATTTTGGGATCTACGTTCATGAATAATTCACCCTTTGCTGCAGACGGTGGGCCTGAGTTGCTCTATAATGTTGCATACGAGTTGCTGGTGTTTAAACACCGTTTAAGAAAGCCACTTATGACGTGAGGAAGAAGTAGTGAGAAGGGTAGGCTGCTGTGTTGTGGATAAGCCTGCAAGAAGCAGCCAGCTGCTGCTGAAGGCGGGCTTCACCTCATTCCTCCTCACCACAGATTTCCCACGACCTCCATGCCCCCGCGCATGGCTCAGTGTTTTGTCAGCACTCGATAACACTTGTATTAAAATCTAAATTAACAGAAAACGTTATCTTGCTAGGCTGCAATATCTAAATCTCAGCGTCTCCTCTCTAAGCTACGGTGCAACGATGGAGGGGTTGTCACACCAAGCCTCCTTGTACATCCTCCCCCCCCTCCTAAAGCTGGGTCGGCTGCGGCGCCCAGCTTTTCCAACTGAAATGTGTATCTGCAGCTATTACTCTTACAGTCAAAGTGTATTTAATGTTAATGTAAAAATTCCACCTACCAGCGCCAGACGGTCCCGGCTCCATCCCATTCACTTCATTCACTTAGCCGCGAAGGTACAAGCTAGCTAGTCCGGGGCTGCTGTGGCCAAACCGCCGGCCCCTTCAGGCTGGAGGCGTCTCAGTCTTCCAGCCCCCTCCTCTCGGCGTGTCGTCTTCTGCTTGCTCGGTGTACCCCCGCCCCCTACCCCTTACGAGGAACCCCCCTCCAGATTCGTACGGGACTTAAGGCTAACGGTGATAGCCGCTGGCAGATGCTGCTTTGGCCGTTAACCTCGGACCTGCTGCTAACGGTGGAGCAGGAGGAAGATAACTTCTTGGTCCTAACGGCTTTTCTTCCACAGTTCCTCGTCAGTCCCTCCGTGCTGTGATTCGGGCGAAGAACCCACACCACAGTGATTTATCGTCCTCTCGCTGTTAGAGCAGGATTCTCCAGCGGAACAAAAAGGCCAGCACCTCAGCCCCCAAAGATCCAAAACTTCTTCAGTGCCATTAAAAAAAGTGCAAGCGAATTGATGATAAACCTGCTGTCACACCCCAGAGGCTGAAGGAGGAACTGCACTGCAGGTATGCTAATCACCGTCAGACTGAGACCAGCATTTCTCAAACTTTCATGCCAACTACCATCTTTAATAACATCACCATTCCAATTACCACCATTATGATGGATAATAATATAAATTACGCATACAAAGTAATATTTATATATACTAAACGAGAAATCTGTCCAGACCACCTTTGTATGAATACACTATTTCATGTTTTATGTTCATTTTGCTTGTTTCACTTTTCTATTACAACTTTATCTAAAGTAAATAAAAGTTCCTTGAAAATAAGTGCGGCTTGGGTAACAATCATACATTCCTGCTGTTATATGCTATTATATAACAGCATATGACAGTTGTTTTATGCTGCTATATGCTGCATATATTGCTGTTATATATGCAATATATAACAGCATATAATAGCATATAACAGAACTTCTTTACAAGAAGTTTTACCACTTCTTGTAAATAATATGTTGCCTTTCATGCACATATATGCATATTTTGAAATTATTCACCCCCTTGGATGCTTTACCCACTTTATTGCTTTTACAGATCAGCTTTTCTTGACAGAAAAAAAGATACCATAAAACCCTTCAATGTTTAAGTAAATTAATTTACTTACTTGATTTATACATAAGGGCAATTGAATAAGAAAAAAATAACATAACTCAAATGATTCCATAATTATTCACTCCCTTTAAAGTAACTGACATAATTCAGCAGAGGTCCAGCCAAGTCACACAGTGAGTGTAATGTAGTGCTTCTCATTTCCAGTCCTCAGGCCCCCCTGCTCTGCATGTTTTAGATGTGCCTCTATACCAGAACAGCTGATTCAAATAATTTGAATAATGTGAATAATGCGACCTGTACAAAGGTTTTGTACAGGTCACATTTTTTTCAAAACTGCGGGTGTGTATCTGCATCAGGTGCATTTTTGGTCAAAATGTGTTTGTTCTTTATTCAGTGAAGATGCTTGCAGTGGGTTGAATATCTGGAAATGTCACTCAAGTGGGAGTAGTAATACATCATAATCATATTTCTCAAATAAAAATATAGTATTATAAAACTTCTAAATGTTTTTTTAAGTCCCTGAAGTAAATGTAAATGGTTTCTATACACCTCTGCTCAAGACCTGTACTCTGTATCTAGCTTGACTTTTTTAGTGAACAAAACAATTAACATATTTAGTAAACACTTAAATGTCAAAAAAAAATAAATCTGTTGTCATTCAAGCAAAATATACTGCAAATAGTCTTGAACTACAAATTAACTTCACAACACACATTAGAAGAATTTAAAGTTGCTTATTTGATTTAGACCTCAATCCATTTTTGAATGTCTTGGTTATGATTCTGAGAAAGAGCTGTGAAAATTTGATGCCATGATAATTTTGAGTCACTGTGAACATAGAGTCAGTATAAATGTGCATAAAAAAACAGGCAACTGACTGTCACACTAGATAAAACATTTCTGTTAGTCACATTTAAGTTTTCAGATTACTTTGAAGTCTGTCAGATGAAACCAATAAAACCAATAATGTAAATTAAATTAACCCAACTTTAAATTGTAAATAATGTTGTTACTTTATACAAGAACTTTATATAAGATTTCCAAATTTTAAAATGTGTATTGTAAAATTTAAATATATTTAGCTTATTCAGGATTCAATCATCTATCTGGGTGTTGACAACACGTTTGTTTGCAAGTAACTTAATAGAGTTCAGCGTAAACTGCCCCCTACTGGCCAACAAGTCTAAGCTTACCAAAAACAGCTGGTGGGCAGTCAGTCTGACAGAAAATACATATCTCACGTGTAGAAAAGTAATAACATTAAATAATAACAAAAAGTAAAATAATTTAAGTTTTAAAGTTTTGGTTTTATCTTAGAAGAAAATTACAGTGAATTATTTGTCTATTATTATCATCAATTGCTCTCATTTTAAAAATATTTCTACAGTACTTAATTGCTACTTACAATCTTTGCAACCAAAATAATAGTTTATGCTGATTAGTTGATCTATGTTTTAATTAATAGTGTTATTTTTTTTAAGGCTGCAGTGCAGAAAATGAAAGCAAAGTGGAGTTTATTTAGGTCAAATGAGGATGCCAGGGCATAGAAGTCTCTCTTTAAAAAAAGGAAGACAGCCAAGGATGTTGACATAACTAAATTAGTTGAAGAAGCTGAGGATTTGCCACCTACCAAATTCCATGACAAAAGAAAGCAACTATTTTATAGGTGCAAAGAATCAGCTTCATTGTGCTGACTTGATTTTGTTAACTGTTCTGGCAAACTTTTATAACAAATTTTATGTATCATCACCAAGATCATTGATGATTCTTTATTCCACAAAGCACTGTGCAATAGAACTGCATCCAGTACCCATAGTATTTTCATCTTTTGGAAGGATGGAGCACTATTCTACGTTCAAGGTTAGGTCAGCCCAATTAAAAGTTACAACACTGATTAACTGTATCAGAAATGTTAGTTCTCAGACTCCCTCTGAGAAACCTTAGTGATACGACTCAGAAAAGTAGGTAGAAGGTCTAGTAACAAGAGGCTGAACAGACACTGAGCTGATCTCATATGTCTGCTTGCAAGAATTAATAAAGTGCTGTTTAAGTGAAATTCACAAATCTCTGCCTGGTCACTAAAAGTGAGAGTTCATTAGGGGAAAGTCATTTTTTTATGTAATATTTTCTCTATTGTCAATGCTTTAACGAAAACAACTCCCAACTTTTTAATTACACATAATCAATGTATAGCAAACATTAACATGGTGATATATTTGAGACAATTTAATGTAGACATTACAAAAAAAATGCTTATTAACGAGTTATTGCTTTTTAATCTTTGGATAGTTTATTTTTGTAACTCTAATCACTCAACAAATGTGTTTATTGCATCTTTTGTCAGACAAAATTTCTGCCTTAACTTTGTTTATTTATCTCCCTTTAAGTGTAACACTGACTACACCCGGAAGTTCCAGTCAAAAATAACCACCGCGATATTGTCAAATGAGGGTGGTTAATGTGAAATTTCACATTCCTGCTCTTTTATTTAATATTGTTAAATGTTAATTAAAAAAAAAAAATCGTGCCTAAAAAGAAGTGCTACGTTGGAGGAAAACTTTTTTCATCTTACGGTAGTCAAAATTTTCAAGTTCAATTTTCACCCGTGTCGTTTTTTTGCTCATTATATTTTATTCCGACTACTCTGTCTTTTCGCTCATCTTTTTTCACCCCCACAAAAGTCACGTGCTTACTGGGTCCATGCCCATATTCTGAAAATCTCCTACCGCGTGACAGGAAGTCGTCATTGAACTTCAGTGCGGAAGTGGTCGTCATCGTAAGAGCTTGTGAGTTGGAGGCTGAGCTGAGAAATGTGAGGAAACGGCCGCAGCTTTGGCAAAAGAACAACTTGTGCTTCGGATGTTTGAATGAAAGAAGGTGTCTCCACTAACGGTGAGTGCTTTCTGAAGGATATAGTCTGTATTTGTGCTTTTTTTAGCTCCTGTGCAGCTCAAATCATTGCATCTCCCCGGAGCTTGGCTGGCAGTTGACGGTCTGAAATCAAATCAGTGTCTGCATATGAAATATAATATCACAGTAAATTTGGTTCCTATATACGGTTCCTTAGTGACGTATTTTTAGCAGATTGAGCGGATTATATTTTGTTGATTCATTAATTGTTGAAAATGTTTTTATATTTAAATTTTCAGATCGTTTGAAACCTAAAAATGTCGTGGATACGAGAAGGTGAATTAAATCTCCTTGAAAAGATTTCTGCTAATATCCTCATGGTAAGTGTGTGTGCATTTGCTCAGTCTATGATTGTAAATCTCACACATTTTTCTCGTTTTTAATTTTTTTGAATAAAGTAAGCATAACCTACTTGCTTTATTCTAAAAGATTACACAGTCCTTTAGGGATCCCTGAAGATGTATATAATCCCTAATGAATTTTGGAAAACGTCTCGCGTTATGTTGTTTTACTTTGTTGGAGCTAGAAATGTCATGATTCACATGCAAGTTTGGTAATCTAGAATAGAAATAATTGATCTAACTGTCCAGTATTTACTCCAGAATTAACATTGAATAAAGTTTATAGGGGGAAAAAAACTCCATACATTTTTATTTTTGCAATCCTCTTTTGAACATGAGACACTTTGAATGATTTTAAGTTATAAAACATGTGCGGACCATGACTACTGCTAGTACAGCTTTAGGGAAGAGATGTAATTTCATCTTTTGGTATCTTTACAATGACACGTTTGTTTTTACACAAAATGTGCTTTTGTCAGTCCAAGGAAAATTCAGTAATTTAAACCATTAGTTGCTATGGTATTCTCTCTCTGATCCATAAAATGGCAACAGCAAATATGTGTAACCCTGACTGAAGTATGAAAACACTTGTAGTAATAGCCTGGTAATGTCCAGGGCACATCATAAATAATGTAGGAAAATTTTAAAACTATTTCATGCAACAATTCTAAATACTTTGGTCACTACTAAGAGTATGGTTAAAATAATTGTTTCTTTTCCCTGTTTTCCCCCTTTTCTCTCTGCTTTTTGGTTCTGCCCTACATCCATGAAGCCTCTATTATAACTCTTTAGGAATTTGG